ACACACACACACACACACACACACACACACACACACACACACACACACTAGAAAAAGAGAAGGAAAAAAAGGACCTCAACAACCACATCCAAAGTTGTCCCAGGCAAACTTTCCAGATCATCAAAAGAAAAAAAGGGGAGGCTATGAGGCTATATTCTAAATTACGTGCATGTGGGAGGTGTGGGGCACAGCTGCTTGTGAATACAGTTGCCCTCAGAGACCTGAGGTATCAGATCCTCTTGGAGCTGGATATCATAAGAAACTGATCTAAAAGAGAGGTCCAGCTGGCACAGGGGTGTGGACCTGAAATCTCAGCAGTAGGGAGGGCAGAGGCAGGAGGATCACCGCAAGTTTGAAGCCAGTCTGGTGTGTATAGTGAGTTCCAGGACTGTTGGGGCTACACAGCAAGGCCCTTTCTCAAAAGTAAAATGTAAAATAACAATAAAATCTAACAGAAAAGAGCCTGCCAGTGTTGGAGAGCAGAGAAGACCACATAGCCCACCAGAGGAGAGTCATCCAGCCTCCTGTCACTCAGGGAGCCTAGAACCCAAGAGGTACATGGTTATTCCCATTCCTTCTCTCTCTTCTTCCTTTCTTCCTTTCTTTTTTCTTTTTCTTTTCTTTTTCTTTTTTTTTTTTTTTTGTCTTAAAACTTGGAAAGATTGTTCCTGCACTGTCAACAGAGAAGATTTGGTTCTGAGGACTCATTTGGGATTTTCTGTAGAGATGGCTCAATATCATTAGTAGGAAATACGTTTCTAGACATTTGTGGGAGAATGGTTGTTGGGCCCTGCAGTACTTTAATGAAAGACCATTTCTCATCAGCTAAATTTCAGCTAGAAACACTATTAGACAAGTCTTCCTCGCCCTCTGCTCCAGTCTTTTCTGCAATTTGGACACTTGAGGTTTTCATGCAAAATTCACTGTGTTCCGAGTCCGGCCTCATGTGATCCTAGGCTCTCTCTTTGATGTGATCACTTAAGTGCATCCATCGTGGTAGAAAAACAGGCGAGTTTGGGCAAACAGTGCTCGCTCAGACCCTGGCTCTCTTTCAGACCTGGGGACCCTTCATCTGGCCCAGTTCCCATTCTTGTGTCTCTCCCCACGGCTTCCCAGTGCCATTTTATTAAAGCCCACTTCATCCACATCCAGCCGCACGACTTCTTACAGGCTTCAGAATAAATCACCACATAGCTCCGATCGTGGCTTCTCTGCCCTCGGCTTTCAATTAAATTTAGAATTGACTTTAAAGGTTCAACCTCAATGTGCATGGTTGAAAATGACCTTGTTTCCCCTTTCCCACCACCTGCGACTTCCTGCGAGGGGTTCTTACACTCCAGCTCCTCGTTCAAAAACTAGAAACAGGAATTTGCTTCATGCTCCTGTGGCAAACTGTAAGTCTCAAGCTGTTTGAAGACTTGAAAGTGCTTTCCAAAAGGTAAAGTATACTCTGCAGAGAGAAATCTGGGGACCAGGATCTGTGTGTGCCTGTATTCAGGAAGAAGGAGAGGCAGAAGGCAGACAAGCCCATCTCTCTCAGCTGAACACTTTTAATTAGTTTAGTTTCTGGATCTTCGGCTCATAATATACAACCACCATCAAGGCAATGGCGTGAAGGCTGTATTGACTCGGTGATGGCAGAGCCCATCAGGTGAGACTAGCATCAGAACTAATTTTCCCCTGTGTTTTCCCCTCTTGCTCTCAACAAGGGCCATGCCATTGCAAGCAGGCGTGTTGGACTCTTTGGAGTTCCCTGACTCCACCACCCAGACCCTTTGGAAGGATGGCTGGTTTGGAAAACAGTTCTCTCTGTGTTCATAAACCATTAATATTTTAAGACATGTGATCCTATCTAACTGAGGGCAATAAGGTCCCTCAGGTTTGGAAAAGAGAAGAAGAGAATGATTGACTTGTTGGAAGGATCAAAGAAGATTTTGTGTGGGAGAAGGGAGCACAAATTCCCTTGTGATTGACAATATAACCAACTGATTTCTTTATTCTATATCAACCAGTTATTGGGTATTTATCACATGAGCCTCACTTTTCTCCCCTTGAAAATGGGTACAGAGACCCTTCATTTTATGGTGGTGGGAATTAAGTGAAAAAATACATTCAAGACAAGACGGTTTTTTTAAATGATTTATTTATTTTTGTTTTTTAAAGCTGCATTTATTTGCATGTGCATGAGTGTTTATCTGCATGCTATATATGTGTACCAAGTCTCAGAAACCCTGGAAACTGGAGTCACAGACAGATGTGAACTACCATGTGGGTGCTGGGAATTGAACCCTGGTCCTCTGCAAGTGCAGCAAGCATTCCTAACTGCTGAGCTAGGGTTTTATTTGTTTGTACATGTGTGTGAACCTGTGGAGGTCAAAGGACAACTTGTGAGGATTGGTTCTTCTCTTCCACCACGGAAGTTCCGGGACTCGGGGTCATCAGGACATCAGGCTTGGCCACAAGCACCTTTACCATAGTGAGTGGCCCTTTAGACTAGATTTTCAAGTGTTACATAAATACACAAGTTTTCCAAATGTGTGGGATCTAGAACATAATGAATAACTGCCCTGAAACTTCTATTTTTCCCCTCTGCTCCTTTTGTGGGGGGAGGGGAGGTCTTGTATAGTCCAGGCTAACCTCAAACTCATTAAATAACCAAGAATGACCTTGAACTCCTGCCTCTGCTGCCTCTACCTCCCCATCACTGGTGAGGGTATCTTAGTTAGGGTTACTATTACTGTGATAAAACACCATGACCAAAAGCAACGTGGGGAGGAAAGGGTGTGTTTCACTCACTGTTCATCATCAAAAGCAGTCAGGACAGGAACACACACAGGGCAGGAACTGGAGGCAGTAGCTGATGCAGAGGCCATAGAGGGGTGCTGCTTACTGGCTTGCTCGTCATGGCTTGCTCAGCCTGCTTTCTTTCTTTCTTTCTTTCTTTCTTTCTTTCTTTCTTTCTTTCTTTCTTTCTTTCTTTCTTTTTGTTTTTCAGAGCTGAGGACCAAACCCAGGACCTTTTGCTTGCTAAGCAAACGCTCTACCACTGAGCTAAATCCCCAACCCCCTGCTTTCTTATAGAATCCAGGACCACCAGCTCAGGGATAGCACCACCCGCAATGGGCTGGGCTCTCCCCCGTCAATCAATAATAAAGAAAATGCCCTACAGCAGGAATTTATGGAAGCAGCTTCTCAATGAAGGTTCCCTCCTTGCAGATAACTCCAGCTTGTGTCAAGTTGACATAAAACTAGCCAGCACAGTGTGTTACCACATCTGGCCTACTATTGGCTTTTAAGCTGAAAAGTTTCAAAGATTTAACCTCTCAAACCTCAAATCAGAATACTTTTCTATTGATTTCCCTTTAGAAAGAATTACTGGGGCTAAGGAAACAGAGACAGGAGGGTGGATGTAAGCTTGGGTAAAGGATGGGCTACATGGTAACTTACAGCAGGCCAGCTAGGTCTACACAGTGAACCCTGTCCCAAAAGAGCATGAGGGGGAAAGATTTACCAGGAAAATCATGAGGGTTTTAGTCCCAGTTCACCCCCTTCCTTCATGCTGGGAGTGTGTGTGTGTGTGTGTGTGTGTATGTGTGTGTGTGTGTGTGTGTGTGTGTGTGTGTCTGACCCAGTGGATTTCATTCAGATGGCTTTTGGGATCCTGGGTGAGAGATTATTTTTAGGACCATGGACACTTTACCTGTGGTTACATCAGTGAAGAATGCCTCCTCAGTAACTATGAATTACCTACAGAGGTCGATAGGCCCAGGATTGTGCAGGTCTTCTGCAGATAATCTGTGACTCCATGAGTGCAATGGCCATGCCTGGAAAACAGCACAGCACAGCACACCACCCCTTCCAGCTCTTACCTTCTTCTGCCCTTTCTTCCAAGACAGTCTCTGGGCCACTGAGATGATGTAGATGTTCTATTCATGGTTGAGGCTTTGGGTCTTCAATAGCCACTTAGTCTTAGCACGTTGGCTAGTTACCTGGTCTGCAGGCACCATTGCCCTCTGTGAAAAGAAGCTTCCTGACCAGAGCTTACAACAGAGATAAACGTAATTACTCAGAAGTTGAATTTGTTATGGGGGTAACCAACCACTTTTCCGCTGGAATTGATGCTGCCCCACAGGAAGGAATTCACATCTGGTACTACAGCTGGTCAAAGGTTACAGCTGGGAGACACCAGGCTCTGTTGGAGCTAAATGTACATGATGTGCCAGGGGGCACATCCCGCTTGGCAGTCAAATAGTATAACATTTCGGTGGCTGGGTTCTTGTTTTTGTTTTGTGCTTGTTTAAGACAGGCATTCATAGAGTCTAGGTTGGCCTAGAACCCACTGTGTAGCCAAGGCTGGCTTTGAACTACTGATCCTCTTGCCTCTCCCTTCCAAGGCTGGCTTTGAATTACTGATCCTCCTGTCTCCACCTCCTGAGTGCTGCAATCGCAGGCATGTGCCACCATGCCCAGCTTGACAAGTATCATAATTAATTCCTCACTCGGTCTTCCACGTAACATTCCGCAGTGTTTTCTTCGTTTCCATTTAAATTCTTCCTGGTAGAGCCTTCTTTTTTCAGCTCTAAGAGATCAATATTGGCAGGGCTGTTTCTGACGGCTTTGATTCTCTTTTCCTTTCTCTCCAGAACACTTCTGCTTCTCTTGGGAAGGAAGCCACACATGTGTGGAAGACTGTGAACTGAAGCTAGGAAGGGAGGGTTGCGCCCACTGACCTTCTTCTGAAAGGCTACCACCACCCCCTCGGTTAACTGAGTCCTAATTCTGTATTTTACAGCCTTCCCAAAAGGCGACTCTTAAGTGGATGTGTCCTGCTCTCTGCCTCCCCCATCACAAGGAAAGTGACAGTCATACATTAAAGTTAAACCCAGGAACCCGGGGCCGAAGGCTTTGCTGGGTAGATCCATCCCAGTTACTTGTGTTTGTTGGGTTTGATTTGGCTTTGGCTTGTGAGGAAGGGTCCCACTCTGTAGCTCAGGTCAAATTAATTGCCCAGCTTTCCTGTCCCGAATGCATAGGAATGTGCCAGCACGGAGAGGCTTGGTGGGTCGGTCCCAGGCTCCATGGCATTTTGAGGGAAATAAGGAGTCAACTGCCCTAAAATTGTTCTGCCAAGACTGTCACCCTCAACGCGGTTGGCCTAGGCTCTCCAGAGCCTGCCTGGCATGACAGCATTGACACAGTGTGCTTGACCAGACTAGTGGATTGAACTGTCTGTCCACAGAACAAACAACCTTGCACCACAGGAAGTCTCCTTTTTACCCTCTCCTCCTTCCTTCCTTCTT